ATCACAGAATAAAACTTTAACTTAAATAAATCACAGAATAAAAAAAAAAAAGAATTAATAATCAAAAGAAAAGAAAAAATAAAAAAAAAGAAAGAAAATCAGTGACATTCTATCACGCAGTGCGATTAGTGTTATCTTCAACTTTTCAGTTCACTTCTTGGACTATCACTCAACTGTTATTCAAGACGAGATCACGGTAGTTCAACATTCCACCATTTTTATTGATAAATGTTCTGATCTTTGCCCTATCTTTGGGATTTATTGACGTTCCAAACTATTTCATCATTCATCAGACTGTCTAAGGACATGCAATGGCCGCCAAAGACGACACTTAAGATACAAATTAATGGATTGCACTGGTATCACTTTTAAAGTGTTTTTTCTCAATCTAACAACACTGATGTAAGAACTTCAGTAAACCTACCAAATAAGTAAATATGGCACAGCTTTTAAAAGGCAGCTTAGTGCAAATGGGAAATGAAATATTTTAAAGCCTATTTAAAAAAAAAATACCTCACTGACTTGAAAAAAAAAAGACATATATTACGGTATGTATGGAATTTTCTCCATACTGGAACTTTACATCAAGCAGTCCGGTAGGAATCTTTTTCTCCTTTAGACAACATGAAAAATGGTACTGCAGGAGGGTCCAATTTACCCGCATGCAGGTAAATTACAGGCCTTTAACGGCTGCCGAACAGCGTTTTTGTCATCCCACGTCCCTGTTCTAACAACTATTTGTATTTTGTCTACCTATGTAAGTGTTATTTTAATCTCCGTGTGCTGTAAGCAACCTTGCGGGAGCCGATTTCATCGTCAGTTAATTGTCTAAGAGTGGCATCCATGTGGCACCCTGCGTTTCAGAGCTCTCTGGAAATCCGTTCCTCTGCCATCAGCATGGGCCTGCCATTCTACCAGTCAACGAAACGACAGAGGCATGTTTACAGCAGAGATGAGATTTTCTTGGGACCTGTATAATTTGGGGGGTTCTTTATTGCCTTTTTAAGTCTTACTTGAAATGAATGTTGAGCAGACGATATTTCATCCCAAGGAAAGGGATTCGGGTTTGTTGGTATTATTGAAATACCACACTAATATGTCATATGTCTTACAAAACAACACTGACGAATACTGGTTTTGTTAAGGTGCGTGTATTTATGTGTGTTTTTTTAGGAGGGGGGGGCAAGATAAAATATTATTTTACTATTCTTTATAAGGGGGGGTGCTTCAAAAACTAGTGGGCATGCGCAGACCCTCTTGGGTTCGCCACTGCAGGGCCATATTTAATATCATACATGAAATCGGGAACGTTACGAGCTTCTTCTTCCTTTTTGTGTCTGTTTAGTCTACTTACACTGGGTTTCCACACCTAAATCGAAGATCGATCTTACAGGATCGAACCATCTCCGAGGGGTTTTTCGCGAAATTTCTTTCAACTTAAGCGGCTTAGATGTCTGTCACGCCTGAAGCTGCAAAACGATAATTAATTACCCCCTACAAGCTTCAGTAGGCGTGACAGACACCTAAGCCGCTTAAGTTGATTGCAATTTAGCGAGAATCCCCTAAGGGATAGATCGATCAACAGTTAGTACGACAGGATCTAGGAATCACATATGTTTTATCGGCTTGGTGATTTTGAATCTTTACTAAAGAGTTCTTGTTATGTTTACCAAGCTGCGGTAGCATAGATATTAACCCTGACTGTCTGGTAATCTTATGAAACCATATAGCGATAACGTGTGGTTTCGTGAGGTTAGCAAACATACATCTGCTCTCTTCCTAATGTGATATATCATTTTTCATAATCTTTTGAAACCTTGGGTTGTAATGAAATCATGTTGTGCGGAAGTCAGGGCATGTTTTATTTTGGTTCTGTAGCCTTTTGAGTATAATAAACAGCTCACTTTAGGAAATAAGACAGGCAGTTCATTTAAACCTCCAAAGTGTCGTAATAATAATCTCAAAAAATGAAGGAAAATTGGAAGAAAAAAAGAGAAAGAAAAATGAAAAAAAGAAAGAAAAATAAAAAGAGAGAGAGAGAGACTGCAATGCGTCACCACTATTAGATATTATTGATTTTGGTATGGATGCTCCCATTTCATCCCCGTTTTATTATTTTTCCCAAAGTGTCAATGTCACTCTAATTATTTCCTGATACCGTGAGATGTAATGATAGCAGAATGTGCCTCCACGCCCAACGAATTCATAACCTGGATCAACAGCCTTTTTACCTCCGCCAAGGAGGTTATGTTTTCACCCCTGTTTGTCTGTTTGTTTGTCATCAACATAACTCAAAAAGTAATGGACCGACTTTGATGAAAATTTGAGGAACTGTCAGAAGTGGACCAAGGAAGAGATGGTTAGTTTTTGGTGGTGATCCGGATCAATAATCAATCAATAATCAATAATAATAAAAAATTGCTGCCTTGGCGGAGGTCTGCGCTCTCGCAGTGCTTTTCTAGTACTTGTACTAAAAAGTTTTTTGTTACCATCTTAAGAAACCATTTGCACTCAAATGAGGCACAGATAAAATATTGAATCTCTAAACTGAATTTGCCATATTACTTGTATTGCTCATAAGTCTGCAATCTGTCTGCTTTATTAAGAATGAAAAATTAAAAAATGTAGAGTAATTTTAAGAATACCATTTCGTTTTGTGATGAATAATCCCTTTTTTTGTATCACCATTTAAAAGTACCTATCCTGATAGCATTGATCCCTCATTTGATGCTTAACCTTTGCCAAAACACTCTGCAAGGGGGCATCTTCACCTGGCTGTTCTATTGAGAGGTTGTTAATCATCTGCTAGCACATGCACATACCATGTTGCCGGGAATATACAGAACGCCTGGCTTTATTAATGGATCTTTTATTTAAAAAAATAATTTATTTCTTGTAATTATTCATGTTTATTCTTATCGCCACATTGTTGTCTGGTTCGATAAAATATGGTCTGGAGTAAATGTCCCCTCTCACCGCTCGCTCTCCCTTTCTCTCCCTTTCTCTGTCTCTCTATTTCTCTCGTTGGTAAACATTCGTTTCGAGGTTACAAATTCCATAAATAAGGAAGTAGCTGACATACAGAGAGAGATATAAACTGCTGTAACACGTTTCCTTCATTTCACTAATGGCTATAGCTAAGTACCACATAGATAACTAATAGGAGAACATACACTCTAGCGCACTGGTACCTTACTATATGGAACGAGTAAAATTAAGTTTTCTTTTTCACTTCAGAAATCTATGGCCAAAATTTTATGTTAATATATTCGACTTCTTATGGAGAATATACAAATAATTGATAATTTGGTGTAATGCGGAATATTCTGTAGATTATGGAGGCACATGTGTTCTGTGTTTGGGTCGCTCAAGCAAACATCAATCAAAGAATTTTAGTTGATTTTAAGCGATGAGCCGGTAATTTTTATATTTACTTAACAATACATGCATGGATGTTGCCATCTTTGGAATGCTTATATTCGCATGCATACAAGTAATGATTCATGTTTACTTTAAAATCTGATTAACCTCACTGCTATAGTCACGCGTTCTTGACCGAATAATGATTTGCTTATCCACGAGCCGTTTTACCTTACTTATCTGTTCATTAGTTAATTATATTTCCATCGCGTTTAAATATAAATATTTACCTATCTGTCTTAAAAAAGGGATACCCCTTTGTTAAAAACGTAGACATAATTTGTTTATACTGTTTTTTACTGTGGATGTACTTTTATGAACGTATCTTTTTCTGTCTAGAGGGACAAAACTTACCAGAAGTGCTATAATTTTATCATGCCGGACAATCGATCTCTGCTATCAGGGATTGTGTCAGTTCCAATCTTCTGAAACATGTATGTTATATTCTATAGATTTAATCATTGTGTGGCTTTTGGCATAATACCCAGTGGGGTCTTTAAACCCCTGGTCTGAGTTAGGAAAGTCTGTTTCGGTACTCCGTATCTTTATCTGTCATTTTCTAAGTGGATTAAACGGAGAGCGATTTGATTTAAAAGTAAAAACGTTTCCCTAATAAGTTTTGCAATTGTTTTAGAAGCATGGCAAGTGTTGCATTTAGATGAAACTAAAAATTATTTCATCGATGGACGTTACTGTAAATTAAACCCATTTGTTTCTCGGCAAAATTGTTCGCTACTTCCAACAACACATTTAAATTCACTTCAGTTCATAGGGGAAATTGGCAGCAGAGTAATGCTTTATTGAAGCCATCTAAGATAACCACAGTTCATGTAATCTAATTCTGGAGAGTACGCCGGGTTATGGTATCCGTTTATGATTGGGTTTAAAGTGCTGCCTTCTGTAAAAGCCACTCAACTTTTTCAGTCGAAAATAATTTCTTGGATGAATTAATTTGAACTCTTCGATTCACCCAATTTAGCACTGTTATCATCCTGCATTAATATGTCCAAGTGCACATGTACTTTTAAATGCCGTTCGTCTGGCATTAGTTGTATGGTGGTTTGATAGCACTTGTGTTTACTTCGTTCATTCAGTTATGCCACCGGGGTAGCCAAATAGGTCTTTGGGTTAGGGGTTTAAGAAAATGTTTCTGAAACATTTCTTTTTCTGTTAAGTAAGTGTACGTAAAGAGATATGCACTCTCCGTGTACTTTATCGTAGGGTCATGGCCACTGTATCAAAATGTGCTTGTGTCAATAGATAATTGGTCATTTTAATCTTTTAATACAATCCACCGCAGGTTTTATTAAGCTCTTATCATTTTACTGTTTAAATAATATTAAGATTTGGAATGTATCTGAGAGCAGTGATTAGACTTACGTAAAGAAATTTTCATTGTGTACGGATTTTTTAAATAACTGAATATTAATTAATTGCTTTATTGACTCACTCCATCATTCAATCTTACATCAACTCATCCATTCACATTATCATTGGTTCATTCATTCTTAATTTTTTTTTTTTTTTTTTTTGATTCCTTGCTTGAAATAACTCAAATTTTGGACCCTTTGTAATTGCAGCTCCAGATTTCAAAGAAAGACTGCGAACCTACCAAGAAGTAGATGCTGGAGAAACAGTGTCTCTAGAATGTTTACTATCCGGATTCCCTGTCCCAGAGGTCACGTGGTACAAGGAGGACCAAGTATTGACCAATGAATTTCCGTATAAAATAGAACACGATGGCGGACGACACAAATTGACAATTTCGACTGTATGGAAGCAAGACGAAGGGGCATATAAGTGTAAAGCTGAAAACAAGGAAGGAAGCAGCTCTACTTTAGGTTATATATCTGTTAAAGGTGAGATGAACCTACATGCAGCAGCCATGTTTTCTCAATTATATCACTCATTGACGTCATCGGTGAGGGTGAAGGTCATGGTTAATAAAAACGAGATCAGTATAGTGAGATGGGTTCCATAGTCCTAGATAACAAGTCCAGCTCACCAATATCTAGTACAGGACAGGGTTAACCGGTAATTACAAAGTCAGCATATTAGGGAATGTCACCTGTATACAATAATGGGGAAGGGGCTACCATTCCTGTTGCACCAGAATATTCAAATAGTTTGATTGCACACACGCACATACATACAAGAACACATGCATTGGTTTGTTCATCAATGTACTAATTGGATATAAATAGCGGAAGGTCGTTGCCGCTGCAATATCACAGAAATTGATTTCTTAGCCCGAAAACGAGGAGGCGATGCCCAATGCGGGAATTAAATCAATGAACTAGAGGGCAATATTCACTGGAGCTGTTTAATGACTTCAAAGCAGAGGGATAGGAGATCATTTCCGACAGAAATTGCTGCATATTGACCCAACAGTCGCCTTGCACACCACTTCCAACCGTCCCAGGTCACGTGATAACACAACTTAAATCAGACTCAGATTTAACTTGCATGGGCGGCATTAAATGGCCACGTGGAATATTGCCATATTTTTACTCACTCATTATTTATTTATTTATTTATTTATTATGAATGTTGGTGGTAGTCCTGGGTTTTTATATTTATTTACCCAATTCATTAATTACTTTTTGCAAAAGGTCACTTGACACCCATCTCAGTACCATAAAGAAAACAAATGAACACATTTTAAAAACACCAGAGTGTAAGCAAACACCGAAATAATACTGCATCAAAAGGGATATTATACTGTTTGTATTATTCTTTCTTCCCTAGGAGAGGCACGATCCCGCTCCAGATCCCCTAGTCCTCGTCGCCATCGCAACAACCCACGTGCTGTGTCCCTCTCCCCCATGGTGTCCACTATAACAGAGAACATCAGCGACGAGGAGAGGGAAGAACAAGAGTACAGCAGGCTGCCGCCTTCTCCTGTGCTCAGCTCCTTAGAACAATTACGGAAAGAATATAAAAAGGCGCGGAAACACGCTTCTCTCCTTAGCAAATCCAATAAAAAGTCACAGCACAAAGGACATTTAGAGAATGACAAGTTAATACAAAATGATTCCTCGTTGCTGGATAAACATGGAAGACAGGTTGTACAGGATGCTGTGGCAAAGTCCGAGAAACAACGAGATGATGCGAGATATCAGGCCATAAGGGACTCTATAGTGAAAAAGACTAAGAAGGGTGTACCGAATGGTGACTCTGGAACAAATGATATATCATTCATAGAGGATAAAAAACTAAAAGTGTTGCCAGATATTGAACCCGACTCAAAACCAACCGCTGACACTAGACAATCTAGGAAAAGAAGTAAGTAAAGTTCAGTTTTAGTGTGTGTGTGTGTGTGTGTGTGTGTGTGTGTGTGTGTGTGTGTGTGGATGGGGAGAGAGAGAAAGAGAGAGATGGAAGGTAGCATATGTCTTTCTCCTAATAACTTTTATCTACCAATATTTATTGAAACGAATTGTGTGGTACGTGGGTACTTCAAATGCATTCCCCATTTTATGCTCTGTATACTACCGGGTATTAACACACTCAATCAAATATAAACCGTTCATTTGAATTACGCACGTTTCACAATTTACGAAGAGTGTAGATACAAACATGTTTGCCCTCAGACTTCCTCTTATCCTTAATTAACCAGGTTTCCTCTCATCCCAGCGTTAACCTTTAAGACTTGCATGTACCTGAGCGTTCTTCCCCCACCAGGTAGTTCCAGGACATTCTGTAATTTAACAATCCTATGTATGACGAAAATGGCATGTTTCGCATGTGCTTGAGCTCATTGGCATGCTAATTTGTTCATAAAGGATGATCCAGCCTTCCTTTCCACTGCTCTTTATGTGTTACACGTCTTATTCCCAGAAAGCGCTTTCGTTGGATTATTTTAAGTATGACAGAAGCGGTGTTTGTCTTTGTTTTGGTGACATTTATGTTATTTCTTAGAGGATAAATATATAATAAATATATCACTCGAACATTGTTTCCAAACGTTTAAACAGGATGCATGACCCATTGCACACAACCAGTACCCCAGTACCGTGCAAACCTGTTATTTCTCTTATTAGCAAAAAGAAACAATCGGATTTAATTTATTTTGGTCGCTACAAATAGGGTTTTATGAAAGACATGTTAACAGAAATAATATCAGCCGGCGTATAGCCAAGTCATGTCTGCCCTTGACCGTTACATGTTATTCTCAGTTGAATAAATGTGTGCATTCACGGAACATATAGAACATCCCAACATAATGAGACCCATATATATACCTGCCTAAAACTGCCTACCTATGTAACTACACCGAATTATATATACCTAAAATAGAAATTTTCTTTACTTATAGACTAAATATCAAACACGACCTCTTATGGACCTTGGTCACGTGAATAGTAATGTCGCACCTGAAATCCGACGCTCATAAAACAAGACACTGTCGTAAACCAGCGGAGTTGGAGGTCCTGGACGCGGCTGAGTGTGTGTTGGGGGGTGGGTGGGGGGGTGGGGGGGGGGCGTTGGGTCCAAATGTGAACTGATTCTGGAGCGAGATCACCATTCACGAGACCAAAGTCCGTAGGTGGTGGACCGAAACGTGTTTATGTTATTTAGTCTCTAAGGAAATAATAATTCGGTTTTATCATCCTAGCTAGAGACCATGAAATGCCTCTTTCATAGTTAATGTACCTACCTAAGCACCCATACATCTTCTGACACCTACCCTAACCTACCTATCCTTAACGTGTTCTAAAAGAATTTGTATGTTTTACACCTGCACCTGCTTTCCCTATTTACTGCGGTTACCTTATGTTAGCGGAACTTAGTTTTAAAGCGTCTCTCATATTTGTCTTATTTCTCGAAATGAAATTAATGTACATATTTCATTGTAAATATTGTGAAAAGCCATACCTAACTTGCTGACTTCGCTTCTTATCTGAGAAAACATTCCTTCACAGTGAATACGTTCCGTATCAGTTCAACGTAATCAAAGTGAAGCAGAATCAACCCGTGTAAAAGAAAGCTGACAGCTTGAAAATTTACTGAGAAGAGCATCATTAATCACCAGTTAATTTCAGTCGTTAGTTCTGTGGCACTTCGGTTGCAGATTGGTGCTTTTGGCCATACATAAACGAACCGAAACTTGATTGTGCATGGCATTTTTGTGGGACATGGGGGTAATTTTATTTAGTTTAGCCAAAGCGCTAGCAAATGACAAATGTGTCTTAGAGTTTAGACGCAAGTAAAATGAATTGCGAGATCGCTTGATGTATGAACCTTGCAGGACTGTGCACGCGCTTTCTTTAAAATTCCCGGCTCATCCTGAGTAACAATGATCTTTGTATAAATTCCAGGAAAACCGAGGCCATTCGAAGTGGACACGAGCAGATCGCGAAGTAGGGAGAATAGCTTGAATGATGATGTTCAAACCATGCATGAGAACGGCCTTGCTGGACACTATAGTTCGTTCGAAACTAACCTGGATGCGACCGCTAACTCTAAGCAGAGCGATGGCTCAGTTACGAAACTGTTCTCTACTGTAGAAAGTGACTCCTCCAGGGGCAACAGCATCATAGAGCATGCGGACGGAGAGCATGAAATGTTGCCGTTCTCTGTTGAAACGATTTATTATTTTGCTGCTCTTATTCCTGTACTTTCACTGTTAACGCTGTCGTTTGGTTGGAACACGTTTAGTTTTGTTGTTTGCGTCCTGTTTATGACTATTGTACATGCGTTGTTTGGCAAGTTAATGGAATAAAAAGGGGAAACGACAGAGTTGAAATCCCGTTTGAGAGATTAAGTTTCATTCATGGAGGTGTCAATCGTGAATCCACACCCCCCAACTTCTCGATCCCCCCCCCCCCCAACAACCCAACCGATGAGAAACATTAAGTGCTACTAATATTGCTTTAACATGTGATGTCTTAGTCGGGCCGCTAATCAAACTGAACCTTGCGACATTCTTGTTTCCTTTATAACCTTTTCATGTTATTTTTTTCGATATGGCTTGCTTATTGTAAGATATAAACATGTGGCTGATTCCATTTTGCGTTTTCAGAAACCACTCAATCGTTCAAGCGTCATGGGAATTCTTTATTTGTAAGTTTTAAAAAACCTGCCGTCGTTTTAAAGGGACCATTTGTGTGATTCTGGCAAGGAAAGATAATGGCGTAGTCGACAATTTAGGAATAGTGTCTCACCAACACGATCGATCGTGTTTTAGAAAATCCCAATATGGATGTTTTTACGACCATTGAATCCAAGTGAACGGTTGCACGCCTTGCTGCATAGTCACTTTGAACGCAAGTGCAGGCGTTGTGATATCATTCTCAAAGGATGTATCGTGAAGGCATCTTTGGGATTTAAACACGGGCTATCGATAAAGACGGAAAATTGAACGATTTGCAATTGATATTGATAAGTCCCCAGAAGTCCTACAATCGGTCCTTTTTAACCATCCCCTCATTGCTTGCGCACAGCTACGATGATATTAATGCGCACTTTTAATGTTACCTTGAAAACACATCACCTTGTTTACACTCCTTAACATTTGCCTCGTGGTATTTGATACGGCTTAAGACCATGGTTAAAGGTGAATAACTTAATTAACATCCCCTTCGTGTTAATATGATAACCCACGTGCTGTGTTTCGACCCAAGTTACAAAAAAAGTTTAAGGGCCAGGTTGGGTTTCCAGCTTTTAGCCTAGTCGAACATTTTAATTGGATATCAAAACTAACATCATAAAAGGTTAAAAAACCAAATGTTCAGATATTGACAGCAACAAGAAAGGTTTCTGGGAGGCAATGAGACCTCCCACCGCGTTACACACATGATAAGACATGCACATGCCCTTTACACATGATATTAGGGAGCATTGCATTTTTATGTTATTTGAAAAGAGACGCTCGAGGAATGTAAAACCAACTAGGGGGAGATTGATGGTTATGTTGTTGAAATGTACAGGTTAAGAGAAGTAAGTCAATGCTGCGTTAGTTAGATAACGTCATGAATAAAGCGCTATCCGGAAGGGCCTGGAAACTTTAATATAAAAAATGCTATATTGCCTGTCTCCGAGGCACCCCAAAACGAGCAACTCTGTCATGAGAAGAAATTAATAATATAATACAACATCTCATTTGTTCTTTCAATAATTAACTCAACGCCATTTCTAATTCACTAACACAGTTATTGTTGGTCAAAAAGTCGCAAAAACCGAGGCTTGAGTTTTTTTAAATACCTCTGTTGATTACTTGATAGCATAAACCCCAATTTATTGCTTTTTCTTAGAAACGAAGCCATTTCAAATTCCTATAATAAAGAAACGGGACTGTTATTGCAAGTATAATTAGAATCTATCGGGAATAATACGCACTCCGATCTCAGTCTTGCTGTCTGACCCGATAATCTTATGTTATACAATCGAATCAAATACCATTTAGAAAGAAAACCCTTAGGAAAACCCATAACGTTTTATAAATTTTGCCCCTTGGACAGCACGATGCTGGAGAAACTTGGAATTCAGCGCCATCTATTTTATCCTGGTGACACTACTTGAGCTGTCTGAGCCGTCGCCATCTATAAGGTTTATGGAGTGATACTGGACTTTGGAGACACTGCCGCTCAGCAGACGATTTGCTGCGTCTTCGTCGATGTGACCTCTGACGACCACCGTCTTTTCTGGAGCTCTGTGAAACAACAAGCGAATATTTTGTAATAAAATGCAATGGGACATATCAGCACACATTGTGACAAATAGCGAGAAAACCAAGAGGAGGGAAGTGCATCAGTATCAGTATAAATACAAGATTGACAATATTTATCATCATAATGGACATAAAGCTATTACAGTTATCAATCTAATCTTGAAATCCCATTATAATCTGCACTTGTCTATTGCTAGCCAAAGATTATTTAGTGATGGAAAGAAGCCGAATCACGACAAAATATCTAAAAGTATTATTGTGCACAGAAAATAATGAGAAATGATAAACGTCCTCTACTAGCAGAGTATATACTGTAACAAGTGAAGTAAATGTTAAATGAAAATGGCATTTAATAATCAAGCCAAAACACCGGATATCGTTACACATACACTGAAGGTAAACCTGCAGATTAAAACCAGTTAAAATTCAAGGATAAAATTGGTCAAAGTCTTACCCAGTGTTATATATGTAAACCGCCGGTAGCATGACGCACATGGCACCTATGCTAAGCCACGTGCTAAGCCCCACGTGAGGGTACCACTGAAACGGAGATTCTTCAAATAGGGTCCAGAAAAGGAACAACAGCGGCGTGCGGACAGTCTGAAACAGGGGCGAGGTGACATGGAATCAGTAAAGACGAATTAAAATAGAAAATAAATTGTTGTGAATTATTAACGAGATGGTTTAAGGCCAGTAAAAACAGGGACATTATCGATTAACAATTAATACGAGAGAGAGAGAGAGAGACTGCTGTCCTGTTATACGCAATCGTAAAGATGTAATATTTTAATGTTATGAATGTAGAGACCACGGATCTGAATTTGATATTGACTAATTTGACTTGTAGCAGTGTCAAGCACTGACTGGGATAGCTTACTGTTAGAAATTTAATATATTTTTAACATCATTTGGGTTGAATTCGAGGAGGGCATAAATTAATTTGTAATACGTTATCTATACATAGGCAAGTCCCATCACTTATTTAAACAGGACAACGATCCATTATTGATAACTACAATACGACAAGAAGATTCGATGATTATAAATCTGAATTTGCCTTGGCTATCCATGCTCAATTAATTACTAAATTATGACAAAATACCCTTAATCATAGTTTGGCGATTCTTCAGACATACAGGCAAGGCAAGCCTGCAAGCGACGAGATTAACATTGCTTAATTGTTGGTGATTAAAACTGATGCCTGTTGACATTTTGCACATCCTTTCTTGTAAACAAATCAGGCAATTAAGGTTTAATGTTAAATGTTTTTAGTAAGGTTTGACATATATCAGTTTTGCTTTGTAACTTGACTCCTCACCCGCCAAATGTCAGCTATGCAGTAACAAACATGCACTTCCTTCCCCTAACATTTAGCGAAGGCGCATACCTAGCTACAGTTGTATCTGTTTCAAAGCATAAAGTCCACGCTTACGTGAGATTAGCATTTGCAAAGGATACGAGCACGTGGTTGCTTTGCCACTTCCTTTTGTGCACGTTGAAATATGTTCCATAATGCCAACAGAACACGCTTAACTCGTGACATGGACTGTAGAAAAAAACGTTCCTTCCTTGCTTGGGAAGTCGTATTTAAAACCTGCGTACCATAGCTTCTTATAGAACTGCAACCCCTACTGAAATCTGGATATTATACTATCTACATGTACCACAAGAGCGAAAGAAAATATGTACAACCCCGTGAATGACACAATGGAAGATGTTTTTCACAGTAGATGGCTTAGGCGCTAGATGACCATTCAAGTGACCGAAGTCCAAAGATGGTGGACCTGAACGCCGTGTTTGACTCATAATATTTAGTCTCTAAATAAGGAACAATTCTGTTTAATCACATGCATTTTCTTTCGTGTTTATGTATAAACGGGACAGACATATCGCAACAGAATGTGCCCTCTGTTAAGGCTTTGTAAATCACAAAAGAGTGCTGCATTGTAAAACCAAGAATGTAAGAAATAAAGAAAGAAAGCGAGAAAAGTAAAAAAAATCATACATAGCAGGCTTACCAGAACTATTGCCAGGTAATTTGCTCCCTCTCCAAACCGCAGAAGAAAGGCAATGGCGGCCATGCTGGTTGCATAACAGACAATGGAGCCAGTGGACATTAATGTTTCATACCAGTGGCACTCTGTACCAGACACGGACAGCGAACAGAGCAAATTGTACTCCATGCTGAAAATCACACGGGAAATTAAAGACAAATAGCATAAAAACCTTGCCCGTCTTTAAACCGAAAAAAGATGGCAGTTTTTTATTACTAGTGGTTGCTCTGCATCTACTTATCCTACACAAGAATAATAGTCCACCTTTATGCAGACAGTATTCTCTAGAATTTGAACTTTGTTTGCTGAAAACTATATAAGATGCACATTGCAATTTTAATGATCTTTTATATTCTAATTTTGATCGGGTGTAAAACAAAAATATACTCGAATATAAGGCGAAATAGGTTTAATGTTCTCTAGTGGCAGAAAAGTTCATACATAGTGAAAAACGATTTGTCTTTTCGGTAACTGTATCTATATTATGTTTTGCCATTCAGCATGCGCAACATAAATTCATGTAATGAAAATCACACAACCGGAAGTCACGTGTTCTCATACCTGTCCAAGAAATGCCCCATGCTGTCCACAGTCCCAAAGCCAGGGATAACCTCGACCCAGAACAGCAGCAACACAGTCACAAATGTACAGAAAAAATTCCAGAACAAGACATAAGCCATGTTCAGTTCGTTTGCCGAGACTACTGGGGAGTTTTGGGACTGTTCTGGCGAGCTGTCGCCAGACAACTGTTCTTGTTTCCTGTGCCCATCCTTGGTTGCTTTCTCTGTAATTGTGTTTGCAATTGCAAACGGAATCTGTCAAAGTTGAAAAGCAAATATTAAGAAAATTTGGGTATTTTTTATATTCAGCAAAACGTTAATTTAGCATATTGAGTGGGTATAGATATGTTGGACTTCAATTTGGCATGTTTAATCAGTTGCATTAATTCTTTATGGTAGTTTACCGACCTGAAGCATGTTTATTTATTTATTATTATTTATCATTATTATTATTATTATTTTATTATTATTATTTTTTTTTTTGGACTGCGTAAAATCCATTAATATTATTTTAATGTTACAAAAATCAGATATATTAGTTTACATATATATGCAATTGCTTTAATATCTGCATGTAATTTCGTTTTGTTTTACACCAAAATTTTCACAGCACATTTTACAAAACGTTAGGAAACTCAAAAGATTTAAACTATAAATTTTTATCCTTATAAAAATAAATGATTGCATTTTTTTTTTATTAAAATAATAAATAATAACAACATATATTAGAGACTGATTGATACGCATGTAAAATTAAAAAAAAATTGTTATAATTGTAAATATAGTGAGATTATAAAAAATTAAGAAACCTAAGAACCAACCATTGATCCCACTAGTAACAGTGGCCATAAAATTCTTCCCGCTCCACTCTGTTGTCCTCCCTCTATCTCATTTTCTTCTTTATTTTCCAGGCGTGGAAATATGGTGGTTAACAAACAGACGAACTCGGCCGCCATTACGACCAGTGCGCAGATAAATTTGCGCAGAGTAGGCCGCTTCCGGAGGAGTATGAATCTGAAAACAATCAGAAACGTGGCTGTCGTGATACTGTGTGATTTACATAATTTGGTGGACAGTTTCCTTCTTTTACTACCTACAGAATTACATGTAGTCTTCTTATTCATCAGGAAAAAACATAAAGGTAGTAATCTAGAATTGGAGATGATTCAACGACATGATACGACAACCAAAACCACTCTACATGCTTTTATTGTCCATAAATTATCAAAACAATTTTATCTTATTAATAGAACAAAAATATAAATATCTACTGTACATTATTAAGATAAAAATAATGAAAAGTGTACTTTTATTTTCTGTTTTATCTATTATTTATCATACACTATTTAAAACCCAAAAACCGAAATTAGTTCATACTGGACGTTTTTGTCATCCAACCCATAGAAAACATGGCGACACGAAGATTTCATCTTATAGTTAATGTAAACTGAAGAGGTGAACAGTGAGAATATGAAATGCTTCTACACCCGCCCCCGAATACAAGTGTTGATAGAAATACAAATTACGACCCCATATTTTATTTCGGCCCTATCCCCACAACGACACACCAAACCAATGCCTGCCTTCTCGAATTCAAAATAATAATAATAATAATAATAATAATAATAATAATAATAACATTTTTTAAACTGTGATCAGTGTCACCAAGAAAAGCATACTTTTAAATTAGATTATTATTATTATTATTATTATTATTATTATATTATCCTCCCCCCTTTCAATATTCCGTTCTTTCAAGTAACCCCTTTGCCGTCTTACCTGACAATGAAGGTGATAGGTATATTAAAGTTGGCAAGAATAGCTTGCAGGTAGGGGGCAGTTCTTGTTCCACTGACGGACGACGTGCTCATCAGAAATGAAAGCCCTCCAGAGAAGCCAATCACAACAAAGTATTTCTTCGGATAATTCCGTTCCCGTTCCCCGATCTTTTCCGGGGATTTTATACGCACTGTTAGGAGAATTATTCCGGTGACGACGACTGCGCAGAAGTTTTGCGCTAAGATGACGAAATAAGGGCTGATGATGTCAGGCATCCCGTGATTGGTTGACTGACCATCGTTGTCGCCTGCTAGCAAACGGGTGTACTGGAGGTCCCAGTGATCCTGACAATTAAATGAATATCAGAAATTTAAAAATAAAAGAATTATGTTCATAAATAAGAAAAATGAAAACAAAAGTTTGAACATGAGGAAATGGAACACAGATGACATGGAAAACGTACTGTAGGAAACATCACACCATACATCCAAGAGTTTCCGTCAGGGCAAAAAATATTGATAACAAACGGCGCAGGTTTACAATACGGAATAATACGTAAGACAGTAGCTCTGAGCATTATGTGAACTGTCATGCTGGAAACTTTGAGTATCCAATAAACCAAAAAAAAAAAAAAAAAAATCAGCGTGCGACGCTGTATTGAAGTCTGCATAAAGCAGGTGTGAAAGGGATGGTACATGTAGTCCTAGGAATGGGGGTCCGGGGTCCCGTACGATTCGTACAGGTTAGGGTTAGTGGGTGTACTGGGGTTATTACAAATTAATGGGGAACAGACCACGGTTCCTAGCGGAGTACCATTTCTGTCACGCCGGCATTAAGGTATTGGTTTCTGTCGTCGTTCGTAAGTTAATGATTTCTCGGTATCGCGTTGACCGCTTAATCTTCATGTCTATTACATAAGTAAATTTAGCGAATGTCACTGTCATGACAATACACCGTATGAGCTCATTCCCAATGCAACGTAGATCGATCCAACTCAGAATAACACCCCCCCTCCCCTCCGGCGTTGTGTAGAGTACAACAGAGCTGGTGTCAGGTGATTAGGTGTTCATCTGTTAATATGATTACCTTCGCTGAAAGTACCCGCAGGTTTGGATCGATCTTCGTAGAATAATAGCTTCATTGGCAATGGGTCTTACGGTATAGAACACATGCCCTTTACCAGATGACGTCACTGTGAGCAAAAGAAATAAAATCCACACTGGATAGCCAGGGGTATCTATGAATATATATACTATAAGATATTTTTTTCTATGATTCTGTTAGAATTTTGGAGAGTACCGAACCTTCATCATTTATTTATCCAATAAAATTTGGTCTTAGGGTATGCTTTATTTGCACGTGCTTCAGCTCATTATATGTGTGGCAACAAAACTCAATAATTTAATAGTGTCACCAGCAGCATCTTCATTAAGAAATGGAAGAACGAATAAATATATATTCATAAATTACCAAAGGGGTCATCATCTCCTCTCCGGAGTCATTTCCAATGGAAGCATTCGTGATGAGTTTGGCCACATGAATGCTGTCGATCCACAGCGGGGTAGAAATAAGGAGTCCCATCCGACCAAAGACCACAGCGACAGCAAACAAAGCCGCCAGAGCAGAATGTGACAACATCTTGGCCATGGCGAGAGTCGTGAGAAACCCACTACGTATTCTATAATCGAAGGAGGGTGGTAGAAAGTGTCACTTGGCCTTAGCGGACATTAAGGCCCTGTCCCTTGGATTCCAGGCTCTCTGTTTGGCAAGTGGGAGTAATGTTGGGTCCTGCAGTGGTTAGAAAGGGAGGCGAATACCGAGTCACCGTCTGTCCTTGCTGCTACAGACCTCAGCTTCGTTTACAGATCACCGTGCACCGCCGTGACTACCTCGCCCACCCTAGATCGACTCCTAGATCGGGGCTATCATGTCAACAACTAGATCAAGAACGAGCTCGAGACATCAAAGGAACACCTTTATCAGATTGTCAACTTGCTCCTATTTGCTTGCCACCCTCTGTTCGTCTTTCGTGGTCGTCCACACAGAAGCACTAGGTCAAAAACACCGGGAATTAATGTGTCAGAGCATGTTCCAGGAGGCCTCCTAATTCCCCATTACACCCTGGCACACCCTCCGCCGACCTAGTCTTCTTCGTCTCTGATCACCACTTGGTTGTGTGGGTGTGGCTTCCGTAAAGAACGACAGGGTGTTGTAAAGGGGCGCAGTTTCACTTGAATGGTGACATGATCCAAGAAAGTGGTGAGATGTCCTCACTTCTTGCTCTACTGAGTAACGTATGGTGTGTGTACACTCCGTCACCTGTGCCAGCTGTCTGGGACCCCTTATCAGTTTGAACGCTCCGGGTGACCTGGTTTTCTTACAAATCTTATATCGTGTACTGTAGATTGGAAGTAAGTGGGTTTGAATACTTTAAACACAATGCGGTTCTTGTTACTTGACTGTCCTTAAATCATTATTTCGTAACCGTTGCTGGTTCCCCTCACCAAGGTCAAATTTTTAAGTAAACGGAAAGCTTCAATGCAGAATGCGATAGATGAGAAGTGACAATTGTGTCGGCCACAATGGCGCTTTGTTCTTTAACACAACATCTTATGTCAACAGGCTGTGAGCACACGGCCGAGTATCCGCGACAGAACTATTTATACAATATTAGCACAGGTTAGGTTGATTTGCTCTATTTTTCAAAAGGAATTCTTAGCTCGACTTGCTGCTTTGAATGACATCGTGCACTTTTCTCACTGAAATAAACCTCTTGAGAAAGTTTGAGTTCGCACAATGACGCGAAACAGCGAGAAAGAATGGACACGCTTAGCATATATCTAAATGTTTATCAAACATTATATATCCATAGGTGGATCCTGGAGTTAAGTTTTTCTCTTCTTCCTTTTTAAAATAAAAATGTCATTATTATCAATGTTTTATTATTATTATTATTATTATTATTATTATTATTATTATAAGAAGAGTATGAGGGAAACTTCAGTTCCACCTCTGTGCGTGCCCGTAGCAACCTACCCCGCCCCCATACCCACCTTCTCACCCCCTCCTCCCCGTATCCACCCTGTCTCCCCTTCTCCCGTTCAACATGAAGACGCTTCACACAGGCAAATAACCACTACGGCGTTGATCATTTATTTGACATCTGCATTAGTGCAAAAATGCACTGGAATTCTTCAGTATAAAAGCTTAATTATAAAAAATAACAAATATCCAATGCATTGCAATAACATTATGAACGTATCTGTTAATGATATTAATGGATCACGCAATGATGATTGTGTCATGTTCATTCGACTCCAATTATCATAATTCTAATTCTTAGTTATAATTCTAACATTCTCTTTGGTCATTCACTGAAGCACATGAATAGATGAAGCAATAATCAAATATGATTTTTTTTGTCTAATAACAATATACTGTGCTGATTCCGATCATAGAATCCAAGAATCATTCAATCTAACCGACTTTCTTACAGCCACAGAGTTAAGGACTAGTTCCGCGTTCAACAGTGGAAGCTCTTATGCCCCGTTTGTTCACGTAACTGAAATGCCATGCTTTTACTTCGGAATGGTGATGAAAAAATATCACCGTGTCTAAAAATTGTAACAACAAAACGTAAATATTGTGTTTTGTATTTAAGTGACCATGCTCAGCGATCATAGCTTCTACAAAAAAATAAAAAAAATACATAGATAAGTAGATAAATAAAACAAAAAATGGAAACAACAATTAAAAAACAACAATAACAAAAAAAATAAATAAATAAAATAAAGATAAAAAGGCCTTTCACTTCCTAAGCAAAATACCCGTATAAAAACATTAAAAGACCGACTAGAAGAATTGCACACACGTTGACCACTGGCTGCCATCTTGGATGCTCCCCGCCGACCTTCCCGCGGTTTGGGGAGTTCGTGGCAGACGCACCTGCCTTCCCGGGGGTATCACTGGGGGTGTCTTCACTGGTTAACCCACAGATTATCCTAAGGTAGTGTTTCCACTTCGATTCTGTTTTAGCGACGATGGTTTCTTTGGAGTTGAGACCTGGAAATTGAAGATTATTGTTTAGCTTAATAGCTAGCTTCTTTTGTTTTTTTTTTTCTTTATCTTTTGTGGTGTTTTTTCTTTAGTATGACTAAAAGTTTTGCTATGAAGATATAAATATTTTCAAAACACCTATCAACCCACCGGTTACCATCAGATTAAATGTATATGGGATAAAACCCCTATCCCTTTACACTATGGCCCGTATTCCAGAATCTCCCTTTAGCGTTAAGGGAGACTTAAAGTCGACCTTATACGAAATTTGTATTCCAATACCTTTCTTTATCTCACTTGAAAGGAATCACTTAACAATCATCCTTAGCAAAGGAATCGGTCATTTCTAGAATCTGCCTTTGCTTAAAGATTTCCTTTATTTTCGGCTGAGGATTCCTTAAAATGTAAGGTTGGTCTGGAGTAACTTTTAGCCTTCCTTACGCAACCATCGTGTACAGTTCTCTTGTGAAAATCAGCTATATGTAAACCAGCATGCCTACCTTAATTCAAAATCATTAAATTCAACTAAAAAAGCACTCCGAGAGCAAAGTCTCCACCCAATTTTCATTCTATAATGATTTAGTTTTTTTTTACTTTTGTTTATTGATTGATTATTGATCCAGATCACCACCAAAAACTAATCACTTCTAAATTAACCCATTTCTGACCTACCCTGAAAATTTCATCAAAATCAGCCCGTAACTTTTTGAGTTATGTTGATGACAAACAAACAAACAAACAAACAAACAGACAGACAGACAGACAAACAAACAGGGATGAAAATATAACCTCCTTGGTGGAGGTAACAAAAAGACAGACAAACAAACAGGGGTAAATACAACCTCCTTGTCGGAAGTAATACATTTGATCGAGGATAGGCTTTTCTCTGTTGACTCTTTGCATCAGTAGCTGCTTTTCGATATCAGAGAAGGGTCTACGACTTTGGTTTTCTCATCCTCCAAATCAATCTTCTTGGCATACTTGCATTATTCACTAAATTTGCCTTAGATCAAAAAATCCACATACAGTGATAATGTCCATATGCGCTGTTGCATGACTGAAGTTGATCAGTTGACCCCAATTATACAACATTACTGAGGCGTTTTTAACGAGGAGGGTGTCACAAAGGCCTACTCTAACCAATGAGGAGCTCCTTTATGTCAGTGTCCCTTACCTAAAGGCTGACTTTTGTCAAAGTAATTCCTTATCAAAGGAGAGGCTAAATTGTAGTCTTAGAATACCATTTCGTTAGGCCTTCCTTTACCACGGAACACCTCATTAAAGGAAGCCTTTATAAAAGTTGACCTTAGGACTATTTTAAGTAACATCTTGGAATACGGGCCTATAACTTATGCTGTATAGATAATTATTATTAACACACCTATTATCAATTCACCAGTTAATAACAAATAAAGTGTAAATGGGATAAAACCTTTTTTTCTTTTTTGCACTAAATATAATCACGCTGAGATTTGTTCAAAATCAAATCTTACTCTCTTCATTATGGGATTTTTGGCCACAAACAAACCAACAAAAAAAATCACCTTCTCCCGGCGTGTCTTCCGACTCTGTATCTGTGCCATAATGTTGGCCATTCATTGCAGTAAGCTCCATGTTTTCTGCCTCGTCTTTTTTGTCTGCCTCATAACTGTACCCAACGCTGAGGTGTTTGCGGGCCGACCAATAGGTGGCGTCCTTGAGCTAAATGTGAATTTGTTCAAGAGGTTCTTAATTATGTGTTTTTAATTACAATGTGGCATAATAATACAAAAACAGTAAAGAAAATTAATCAAAAAGAAAAATGTGTTGTCAACACATCTTTATTTTGTGGCTAATTTCCCTTATTGATATATTCAAAAGACAATTTAAATGAGACGAGATTATACAATTTTATCAAAATTATTTTAATCTCACTTCCACTTATAAATTTTAAAAAGGTCTAAATCCATCACCTGTGCTGCAGTCGGAGGGGTCGTCAGAAGACTGATCAATATGGCGGACACGGCAGCTATCCCAGCCTGCATCACGGCAAAGTAGAGGTAGTGAATTCCGGTCACTATCACCGGCCGTGTGTCCACTTCACCACAGCCCGGAGCCGGGTAGACGAAGTCCAGGACAAATCTGACCACTCCGACCACCTGCCCCAGTAACATTCCATAAAAAGCACCCTGAAAAGAGGTAGTTTTTAATATTTGTTTTAAGTCTTTTTCATTATGTTCTATCATTTAAATTTATTTATTCATTCATTAATGTATTTATCTATCTATTTATTGATTAATCTGTTTCTTAATTTATTTCTTTATCTAATTATCGTCTTTTAAAACATTGATTGTACTGAACTATACGGTTATCTGGTTAGTTTTTGAGCCAAGCGTATCGTAAAAATGAAAGTTCAGAAATGTGAAAGTTCAGAAATACCGGTTCTGTTGTCCTTGACCACAGCACGGAGAGGAGGTATATGGCACAGGCTGGACTCTGGAAGTAACCTATAAATGAGGCAGAGTATTGGTACAGCTGTCCTCCCTGTGACGAAGACATCACCGGCATCCACAGGACGGCAATGACGAATAGAAATACTACAAATACTCTGGAATTTCAGTTAAAAAAATGAGAAGAATAAGAAGATGAAAGGGAGGCACGTAAGTGTCATATGTTTTCAAATACCTGTGGCATGTTGAAGGGGGTAAAACACCACCCTGAGAATCGGATTATGCCGGCAACTTGACAACATTACCAGGCACGTAGCCAGCCGTTCTAAAAAGGGGTTTTTTTCTGAAAAAGTGGACCTTTTACCATAAAAACTTCATGTACCAAGATCAAATTTTACTCAGAACGGACCTTTTCCCAGCAAAAAGGGCGGTTCTTTCGAACCCCCCGAACCCCCCTGGCTACGGGCCTGATTACCGAGCGACAAATGCACGTCCATACGTAACAAGTAGGTTAGCTTCCAGTGATATCTGAGACGAAGGGTAAGCAAATAAAATAGACTGTAGCAGGGAAATATAAGGTTTGAATAATGTGTTACTTTGAAAGAAGAAGCCGGAGCACAATTATTTTCTACAACAAGAATTATTGTTAGACGAATAAAAATAATTATTAGAAATTAAAAAGACATATCAAACTGAAAGAATCATCAGACAAATATGAAGAACACCTGTGCCTTGGTTAGCACCCCACTTATCTTCACTTTTCCCAAAGAACCACCACTGACTGTATGCAGGGGCGGATCTGGGATTATTTGAAAGGGGGGGAGGGGGAGTCGATTTTTAAGGAAAAACAGGCTGTGGGTGTTTTCAAGGGGGGGGGGTATTGGTGTTTTTTTTTTTTTTTTCAGAAATTGAAAAGGGGGAGGGGAAGTCAGGGCCCTGGTGTGAAGGTACCACTTGGACTTACCTTCCTACAATGAGCATCTCTACATTGGTGGCAGACTTGCGGAACCGCCGCCATATATCCAGTGTGAAGATGGTGCTGGCACTGTTGAAGACTGAGGTCAGGGTGCTCACCACGGCCGCCATCATCACGGACAGGAGCAGGCCACGGAGACCTGGGGGAGGATTGATTGGGAAATCATAGAATGTTGTTTGCAGAGAGAGAGAGAGAGAGAGAGAGAGAGAGAGAGAGAGAGAGAGAGAGAGAGGATTCTGTCAATACAAACGTTAATATTTACCATCAAGATAGCCTACAAAATGTTGAAAAACGTCAAAACGTCATTTTTGTCATTGCTTTAACAATTCCCAGTAATTAATTAATCACTTTCGGCTATCACAAAAAACGGAGTAAGAGAGTAACACAAAGTAAATGTATAAGAACATAATCAAGTATATTGTGGTCCTTTTTTTCGCTTACCTGGTGGCAGCACCTCCAAGACAAGCTTAGGATATGCGATGTTACTGCAGCCTGCTGGGTTTTCACAAACTTCCATGCATTTCTCAGGAGTGGCGCAGGCAACCTCATCTGAGCGTTTAAATATGAGACGTTATGAGCATGTATCATTACACAAAAAACTGTATCAGGAAATAGCAGATCAAAACTATAGACGATCTTATATTGCATTGAAGCAGGGTTTCAATTCTCTCTTGCTATGGTTATAAAATATAAATTGTTTCAACAGAAGGTTGATGCGTGTTCTAGCTAACGTAACACCTCATTGATAGTAAAAACTTTTTTATTTAGAAACTGGTAACTCTTTATCGACTTTGTATCTGGTCTTGGGTAGGTGTCGTCCTTCTTACTCGCTGCCTGACCTACTCACTCGCCCGCCTACTCCTTCGCCCATCTATTCTTTAGGTCAGTTATCATATTGTTCCTTTTCTAACAGGCCCATGTGTGCTTTGTTATCCACTTGTGCAGTTCCATGTACACCGCAATGTAATGTATTTATTTGCCTACCTTTCTATACTCATATGTCACGTTATATTCACTACTACATGTACTATAGCACAGCAGCAGGTAACTGGACAACTGGCAAGATCTACAGTACCTGGAAACAGAATGCGACTGATCATCCCAGGTATCACCATAAGGAACATTGGGCTGATTTTCAAAACTCCCGCCAACAGCGTGGCGCCTTTGGCATGGGTCACTGACCGGGCGGCCAATGCTCTCTGGACTATTAACTGAAATACAATCAGGCAAAGCATCACGACACTGCTGGATCTCATAAAACCTGGCTGTCCTATTCACTTTTTATTTTTATCCTCTTATTTCACTTCCTTTCCGTACCAAATTTTATGCATGACTTTCTGGACTTCTCAAACTGTTGCTGTGATTAATTTAAGGAAACCGCTCCCCAAAGTCCATAACGGGCACAATATTGTCAAAGTACTGTGGCCTCTTTCTTAACTATGATCTGTTGATATTTGACTTTTAACAGTTTATCTCAAAACCACTCACCTGACTTGCGCACCAGAACCACATGGAACCTGCTATGCTGGTCCTCAGAAAGAGGCCAGGCCACGGATAACTCTGTCCTCCAGCATCTCGAAATATGTGAAAGGCGTCGTCAGGGGGGTAGCCGCAGTGCGCCGTGTTGTTGGATGCATTGGCCGAGGCCGGGATGGCGTTCATGTATTTTACCAACAGTTGGTTCCATCCACCGATTCTGTCAAAACCTTAAGGGTTGGGATTACAGTTAGCATTCACTGCATGGGATTATCATTATCATTATTGCTATTTTTGGCCCAAAATCGTATTTATGTGGTTTTGGTATTTAATGGGCACCAATCAGCAATTAATTAATCTACGAGAGAGAGAGAGAGAGAGAGAGAGCACTCACCCATTATACAGACTACGATGCCCCCTAAGAGCATGACGATCACTTGGACTGCATCAGTAAATATCACTGTGGTGAGACCCCCTGAAACACGCGAACAAGAACGTGGACAGATTTATTTTGGGTGATGAATATAGAGCAGCTAAACTGCGTGTATTCAAATCATGCACAAAGCGTTATTTGATCATATGACTTTTAATAATTTTCGTGTTCACGGTGCGCTCACTTTGAAAGTTATCTAAATTATTCCAAATATTTAACATAATGTAACTCATTGTGTGTGTGCTAAAGCTGTAAGAGGTCAGGAATGATATTCTAAAACCACTGTGACAAAAAATTGGACATCAAAATTAGACATGACAGGCATTTAAGCCGTTTAAGTTGATAGCAATTTAGAGAGACTCCCAAGGGAGTTAGACCGATCCAGATGGATCGATCTAGGCATGGGAACCCAGTCTAAGTCTACCATTAAGAAATCACCCGGTCTTCTCACCAGTCAGTACCTAGGAGCACGTACACGGCGACTACCCCTAGTAAGATGAACGTGGATGTGTAGATACTCCAGCCAATAGCTTGCTGAATAAAGATGGCACCACTGTACAGGTCGACCTGGAACGAGGCAACCATGATGGCGATGATGTTATCACGACGGTGACATAAAGGTATGGTTTAAAAAAACTAAAAGTAATGCACATAAATTTCCTGCCTTTTCTCGCACATTACGCTGTTATGACGTCGAACACTGAAACTGAATTCGTCGGCCTTTTCACTTTAATAATCAACAGAATTACTCCCAATGAAAAGGGCGGAGTTATCAGTAAAGTTGCTTATGATGTTGCTTTGGGCTGCAGGGCCAAGGACTCTAATAACGGCACAAGACATTCGAATTCTGGACAACGGCTACCTTTAGTTTGAAAAAATGTTCAGGGAGAGACCAATGGCAATGGTTAATTTTTTTGGCACGTACAGGTATAATTTAAGCAGAATTGACATTGTGTGATCGGGTGAATGATCCCATCGCTAAAAAAGAACAATAAGTCCTGAATTCAAATATATACAGCAAAGGGCAAGTGGGTGTAACATATTTGAACCTTTTACTTGTCAAAGGCAAGAATTATTCCTCGTCGAGAATGCAGACGCAGGCCCACGTTTAATTTATACGACAGGCACAGAAGTGCTCAATCACGGAAAGATTGGTGTATATATATATATAAGATGCTTAACCTTGGTCATGAACCACGAAGCAGTTCATATTTAAATAGTTAATTCATTGTCTCCACCATTTTTTTCTCTCAGTGAATAAAACCTTGGATGCCTCCGACTGTGAAGATAGATAACGTACCGATATATGGTTGAAGATGAAGATGATCAAGGTCACCGCGGTGAGGTATATCCTCAGTCTTTGGCCTCCATATCGCCTGTTCAGATACTCTGGCATAGTATATACCTGGCAATGAAGGATATAAATAAATATGTACATTGTAAATCAACAGTCTCGTGCATATTTATTATATTCATCATAAAAGAATATGGCTAGAACAAGCCAGATGATATTTCATAACTCTGTGTCATAATCTCCCTTGGTCTGTACACGCTGGCAAACAAATGTATGGAGACAGTTTTACTTTTTTCATTATTATTTCATTCAAATTGTCTTCATTAATACTTACATGCCCAGAATAAGGATAAGGTCTTTTTGTTGGATACCCACTAAGACGTTGAGAGTGGTCATTTGCGCCACATAGTTTTCCACTTTCAAAGTTTTGCAAATAGACCACAGTTCAGGTGATAGAAACATGAACTATAGATCTAACTATCTGGAACATTTTTCATCTATACTCTATACTTTAAAGTGTAGTTTCTCGTACATTCGTGTTTGCTTCAATCTTAATTTCATAAGAAAATGCCATTTAATAAGTTGGCGACTTAGAAGTGATTTTTGATGAATGTAGTGGTCTCTTCGCCTCTCACACGCCTCCCCACGCGTGGTCCCTCGACCGGTTGAATTGAGCCGAGATTTAATTACTGTGCCCCTGCAGGGAGGACGCGTGGGGAGGAGTGTGAGAGGCGGAGAGACCATTACAGGATTAAGCAGTCTTCCTTTCATGTAGGTCTGCCATATTTAGGTCGTGGCCTAGCTAGCACTTGGCTCTTCTCATTCTGTATATCCTCTAAGTCCGCATTCAAATCAGTGGAGTGACTAGTCCGATGGCCAAATGTGGCCGACCCACTTGAATAGGCCTACTTCCCCACGGGGAATCTATTCAGTGTCTATTAGCGGATTAAACGGCAAGCTTTTTAGTGGGTCGCCATATTTGACCCGCGGACTAGTTAGTCCACTGTTCTGAATGCAGCCTAAGGAAGCAGCTCCCTTAAGTAATGATACTTACCCCAGTAGCGATATAGACTGGGAGGAATATCCAGCCCAGGGCAAGCAGACATGGTATAGCCTATAAAATATAATACATGTGATGAAAATGTATCCACAGCATCAGAGAACAAATATTTCTATAGATAAAAGACGCACAGCAATTAAGCCGGAGTACTAGTATAGCTGTGTACACTCCCTGTACCGCATACAAATTTAAAAAAAAGTCCAAAAAAGTAAGCCAAATATAAAGGTAATGTTTTGAAACTGGATTTTCTTCAGATTTCTGGTGGTAAGGAAACTCTGTGGTATTTTTTTTAGTTATACCTTTTGAAACTATATGTGATGGTATTTGGTAGCGTTTAGTGACAATAATTTGGCATGTCAACTCTCTTAATATGCATCTTTAAAAATAAAATAGTGAAGAGTAAAGAAAATAAAAACGAAATACCCCCCCCCCAAAAAAAAAAAAAAAAGAAAAAACTTAGAAGAAGAAAATCAAGAAGAGAGAGAGAGCCTCCTTACGTTCCACTCGAAAACGACCACAGCGACCCCTGTGACTGCTGCAGTTCCAGCCTGGCCAATGAAATGTTCGCTACCAATGTTGCTGGCGAAGATAGACAGGCCAATCTGTAAGACAAAGGGAAAGTTTGAGATATTTCAACGACGAAATTTAAAAAAAATGACTTATTGCGGTTTCTCTTTTAAAAATGAACAAGTTTATAAATAAGTTGAATTGCTTTATATTTATTAATGATAACAATCTAATGCCATTTCAAGAGGATAAATCAGAAGAATATGAAAGTAAGATTTAAAGCTTCCTCGCATCAATCACATTTAATTAGTAATAGGAAGGTGTATTTTACATATATATTTATATCATTGAATGACATTTTACACTAGTTTCTAGGTGCTGCTCGGGTTTCATAAATTAACTCAAGAGTGTCTGCTTTTTGGGAAAATGCCCATATGCCACTCTAAAAATGCCCATAATGCCAGTCAGAAAATGCCCAATATGTCACTTACAGGCCACCAAGGCAGACTGCGACCCGCAAGGAAGAAATCGAACACCGTATTTCTTTTAGATCTGAAAATAGACTGAAGATAAAAAATAATCATTATAAAAACACCTCTATAAAACCGGATGGATTGAGTGTAAAGAACTGATAAGCAAGAAATATAAAAGTATGATTCTTTACATTTGTAAACATCACTACCGATGAATTCATATGGGACAGGAAAGAGGTGATAACATGACTAAATACTTTTCTGGCATTAATGTTTAGACAACACTCATATGCTAAGTAAGTAAAATGGCGTGGAAATCAACTTGTACATGTATTCACCACATACATATATTTTAATATTAAAATGTTGTAAAAATGCAAATTATATGTACATTTCGCATGAGTCAGCTGCCCACTGATCTAGACCCCTTAAAACTTATAAATGAAAGGGCATTTTATCACTACATTGGTAGTACACCGATGCCTATATGACATACAGTGGTGCCGCGGTCAAAGCCGTTTTAGCAAAAACGTTTCAAGTATTAACTCCTAGACCTAGAAGTTTCGACTGCAAACCCTAGCGACTGAGGCACGTTTGGGATACAATGTACTACGATACCTCCACAAACAATCTAAATATCGGTTTGTAATGTATTTCAAAATAAAAGCAAGAAATGTCAAGCTGGATTGACTGCTTGACTAGAGGGGTTTCAAGTGAATTACGAAAGGGTGTTTCAAACCAAGGATCTCTTTCAGGAAAGAAAGCTAAAACAACTTTCTTAAAACCGACAAGAATACGGCTAGGTCGAGACTGCCTTTTGCACCATCACTGGCTATCTAATCAGTAAAAGTTCAAACGTTCAATGGTGATGGAACCACTGTTTGCAAGACGTCCCGATTTTTACCCTCTTCTGATGAACGCCTTCATTGAATTTTTACTTACGTCAGTGAAGTTCAGATTTTGTTTTTGATGTTTTGATGGTGTGAAAGTTAACAGCCCAACTCAAAAAGGAAAAGGTGGATTTTGAGAAACTTTTCAGGGAGAGTCAGAATGGGCTAATAATAATAATAATAATAATAATAATGATAATAATTACTGGGTACATTAATAGCTTGTTACCCTAGTTTAAATGATGCGATATCATTGTTCTCTAGTGTCAATCATTTTTTATTACTTAGATATGTTAATTATGTGATAATGGATGCACGTACTAGTATACTTTCGTACCTATCCTAAAATATGCCAGTTAATATATGCATTTTGTAAGTCATATTATTCGCAGCCGTGTGAAATGTATGGCTGCTCAGTAACGTAAGATGTAATAATTTATACCGCATGGACCGCAAATTATGAGCGTAGTATTGATTTTGAGTTACGTATAAAATGGGACGTAAATCACATTGATGACTCAGGAGATGTAGTTTTGCATATTGTTTGATCTCTAGCATGCAAAAACACTGTCATGGGCCAAGTTGAAACGGAAGTAAGCCGTGTAACGAGATCTCCCATTAAAGTGACATAAACTAGATATTTTAAATGAACTTTAAAAAAAGGTGTTCTACAGATGCATCTAAAGATCTCGCTTTCAATCTCGAATGTGTTCATTAATTAAATTATTCGAAAATCTGATGGACTGATAGAACGAAATGAAACAATAATAAAAAATGCATATATAATCATTTTTCCTATCTATAATTGACATCAATACATTTTTGTTGCTATACATGTATACAATGAGGAGATCCACGAGTAAAGACATGGCTTGTTTACGAATGGTTATATAACCAGATACAAGTTAAAGTATATTTATCATTCGCCTATTTCAGACTAACCATATCTGTTGAATTATTTGCACGCAAACTCTTTGCAAATGACCTCCTTCTCCAGTGTATTAAAAAACGCGGTATGCATTAATAATACTTAGATTAGAAGTCTCATCCATTCATTCCAATATAAATACTTATACGGGTGTAGTAAACGACTCAGCCAGTCGCAGATGTTCCTATTCCTATGCACCATGTTCATGTTCATGTACATAATTATAGTAGTCGAGTTTCTACGATGTTTCACGAGTCAAGATGCGACCAGTTGAACATTGGTTATCAGCATGTGCTGATGTTCATGACGTATGTACTGCAAGAAATGCTCATGGGGCGTGTTTGTGCGTGAGCTGCCGTTTTAGTGTGTTTATGTGTGTTATGCGAAAGAGTGGTGAGTGTGCGCGTGTGTGGGTGTCTGTGCCAACGTACACGTTTGTAAATGAGAAGTCACTGAGTCTGTGTTCTGCAAAGAAATGTGCATGGGGCGCCTGTGTACTCACGTATTTCTACGTACGCGATCTGCTGTGCACTCGACAGGAACACTTATAATACGCCTGTCACAGAGAGTACGAGTGCACGCGCATTTGACCACAATGATCCAAGGTCACGAGCTCACACAATGGCAAACACAAAACGCTTATATGCTTACGCACGACTCGAATGTCATGGTGCGTAAAAAACCTGCGTGAGAAATAAAAAGTTGCAACAATAACAATAAATTGGAATAAAAACCCTCGATGGAATGGCAAATATCCAATATACAACCAATAAAACATACCAATGTCGTTAAGAATAACATAACTTAGATCATTATTTCTTCAAATAAACTATATATAGCACGGAACGCCACTATAAATATAATCTTAGAAGCACTATAATAGTCTTAATCACAGAAAAGCGCGTGGTGTGCCGTAGAAGCTAACCGATCAGTTTCTAATGGAAAATCGATCTGCAGACGGGGACATTACCATAGCGTTACCGTCCATTAACCTCTGACATACCCCTGTTCCGCCCCCTCCCCCCCATTAGCCTCTGACGTACCCCTGTTCCACCCCCTCCCCCCCCCCATTAGCCTCTGACGTACCCCTGTTCCCCCCCCCTCAAAAACTGGAGTGAAATGAGATAAAGCCACTGGATCTCTTTGACTTTTCCTATCTACATGTATATGCAGTGATTAAATGTATCTCTTCAGTAAACGTGTCTGTATTTACATATTAAAATATGTATTATGTTTGCCGAGCCAGGTGAGGATGGAAACCTCTAACCCCCCCCCCCCCCCATCTCCCAGTACATGCCTGGGTCCGCCATTTCGGACGACGATCATAGTTGATGTAACATAGACTTAAAAGGCTGTCTCAAGGTCAAGTGCACGCGACCATCATTCTTGACAAAGAAAATGTCAGACCTGACAACCATATTTTAAAAAATATGTATGTGTGCGTGTGTGCTCTTGTTTGCGTGTGTGTAGGCGTGTGTGCTTGTTTCAGCACATGCGTGTGATCGTCTGGTGACGCAACATTGCCATCGACCTATTAACAGTCCAGTGCAGCCCAGTTCAACCAAGCCTCCCAGTACACGTGATTTTCAGCACATGTCAACACAAATATATCGACCATATTCTGTCAGTAACCACATCACAACTCCGGCGTCGCAACAGGAGATTCGAGAAGTCAAGCCCAGTTTAGACGTACGATAGTAAACTCACCCATATCCCCACGGAGAAAACCACCAAGAAGTATATAGCAAGGGTCACGTAGTCGGCCCAGTGGTCGAACCCAGCCTCTCTCTGTGCCATCTCCCTCGTCTAAATCTACCCTGAAACGTAAGGAATGTCACCGTTAGAACAACAACTCTACACGGTGTATAACAATTCTATATATATAGATCTTAACATAGGCCTACTGTTACACTGACGAGCATGTAGTGCTACGTATTTTGCCGGAGCAGATACAGTACAGTTACATCCAATAGAGACAACCGAACGACCAGTCTTAATCTTAGCAATGCTTCTGATGCATTGCAAAATAAGCGTGTTGTGATTTAACGTGTCTAGAATAATAAACATTAAGTCTTCACAGAGTGTTAGAAAACGTGCGCACTACCAAGCAAGGCCTGTAAAGGTGATTAACCGAAATACATTGAAAAAGGTCAGTTTGCAAAGGCTTGTAGCGTCCTAAATGGCCTGCAGGGTATAATGTATAATTAATGTCAAGAGGAGGTAGTGTATGTGTATGTATTGGCTTTGAAAACACTGTCAGTCCTTGTGCATACTTGTGTACACATGATCAATGGTCAATGGTTCAGACGGGTCATTTCGCTGACCGTTGAGTAGGTGGTGGGTGGGGAGGGGGGGGGGCAGTGCCTTGCTACATGTATTTGACGTAAATCACCTGTATGTTGAATAATAAAAACAATTGTAGATAATCTTGTTAAAAATGACATTATGTTATGTTATGTAATATCATGTTATGTTACGTGACGTTACGTTACGCTGCGTTGCGTTGCGTTGAGTTACGTCACTTCACGTTATGTCATATTAGTTCATATTACACTTAGTTATTTACACAAGGAAGTTCATTTCTAGGAAAGTTCAGTCCTAGCTTCTACGCAGAGTAATAATTGAATCTTAACAAGAAACCGCTCTCCCATTCTTACCTTGGATCTTTAACCTAAGCCTTAATGGTCCTTTTAATTTTGGCAATGATTGATCGAAAGCGCTACTCTATGAGAAAAATCATGCCACTTTACCTGAGTATAGGTAATACACCATAAAATATGTAAGTGGTCTTGTCTCGGCTGTTGTCTGCACTCGTTAAGAGGTGACCCCTCCCCCTTTTTTTCTTACTCGCCGACTTTTCTTAAATAATGCACGCCGTAGCAATAACAAGTCAAAACACCCTTAATGTCGTCGTTACGCACAACTATTAGAACGCACCCCTTCAGACGCATACCTTTGTACTTACTTTTTCTCAGCGCCCCTTCAAAGCTCTTCACTGAATACACGCCGTTGTTTGGCTATGTTTGGGCTATCGCACTGGGAGAAAATCGACGTTATTTTGTCGCGATAAGAGGGAGTGAGCGGAGACGGGATGACCAAGAAGAGCACAGGTCACTGGAGCGAACTTTTCCTGATTGCTTATTTTCTTATCTATCATTTAAGAGCAAGCAGTGTTAGGGTTATATCTATGTCGAGTGTGGCTTTGGTTTTTCTCAGTGGTGTTACATGTAACTCGTTTTAAGCGATACATGTTTTGTTCATGTAATATTTGCCATACAGGGATCTGAAAGTGTTCTGACTGTAAAAGACTAATTGAGCGTGTTGACAGCATGGGCACAATTCCAATCTATGGGCCGAAATGTTAGCTCGGGAGGAGAATGAGGGAGGGTGTGGTATACTTTTTTTTTAATTATGAGGTCATGGAATTAGGGGAGTTTACAACAACGCATATATACACATACACGTCAACATCACTGATACATCTTAGAAGACACATAACAGCATGCATTAAATACCTCAGTTAACCAATATATGAAGACTAATATTCTGATATTTGCCTTCACCAGATCATGCAGGATTCATGGATCAATATAAAGGCTCTGTTGCTCTGAGATCTAGGCAAGTCTGACTCATATGAAATTTAAGAAAACAAAACGCGGCTTCATAAATGGAGGATATAGACATTTCCTTCTACTTAACCTGAATAGCTGAGAAGAGGAATGTGAAGAGAAGAGGTGAACAACCTGTGTATGCACGAGCGCGCTCACCCGTGTGTGTGTGTGGGGGGGGGGGGGGTATCAGCCGATGTAATGTCCTACGTATACTCTCTATCCTAGGCCAGCTGGGAGGTGACGTCATTTTTTTTTCTTTTGGAATTATTCTCACTGGTCTCACTTTGCACTAGATCTAACAATTAATAAAACCGAATCACTCATATTATAAGTTCAGTTGAGCGATAACTTTTTTTATGCCTCTTGAATAAATGTGGACGACGCAATGATAACGGCTGGCCTCGGGGTCATTCCATAGGGTTAATGTGTGTTTTGCTATTACCATGAACATTGAATACCGCAGGCTACGTGTCTGATGACCCAGCAAGGATTTGGTACAAATTATACCGCAAATGGGCACAGAGGGGGCTATAGAGAGGAAGAGTAGTTCATCCCCTTATTTTACTTCGGAGATCTCACTACATGCTCAGTCTAATCGATGATCGATAGCTAGTAAATATGTACGTGCTTTTGACCTACCGGTCAGTTTTGACCCTACAGCTATATGTGAATTCATTCGAAAGTCTGCTCTAGTAACACCAGTGCATTTATCGGCTAGCTCTTAATGGAATCTTGGAATCTCGAAGCTTGTTTAGTTGAACTTAGTTTTAAAACGCCATTGCGTCTTCAGTCTAACGTTATTCGTGTTATAGGCCCCTGCTTAATGCTGTGATGCTTTGAACACACGTATATGTATATATGTAGGTTAACATATGCGGGTATCCTTTGTGAGTCAACCGACGTCGATTGCACTAGACAGTTAATTGTGTACGTACGAGTATTGACCTACTGCTTGGCCTCCAGCTCTGCCAGATATTCCCCGCCGCTTAAAAACCTCGTCGAACCCCCTGGATGCTGAGTTCTCTCACGGCAGTCATTCAAGGCCCCCACGTCGCTTTCTCAGCTATTCGACCTTGACACGGTTTACTTTCATGCGCGAGAGATTTAATGGCAAATACGTCACTTAAAATGCGCTATACAGGGTAAACGAGTCTGACATTATTGCGGTAGCAGTTCCTACAAAAAGCTTCGCGCATTGTATTCGATCGCGACTGACTTGAATAAAGAATCGCAAAGGTATTTTGGCCAAGTATCGGAAAAACATTAAAGGGAGCAATGCGTCCAGCAAGTATTGGATAATAAGAACAATGGATGGGTGTGCCATGGGGATTACATCAACTGAATAAATTATGGACAAGAATCGAGTGTGTCGGAATCTCAGGCGCTGAGTGATTTATGTATTCATTTATTTATTGATTAATTAATTAATTAATTATTTTATTCATAGTGTAACGCTAAACTATATTTACTTCAAGAATACCTTTAATCTTAAAGGGATAATAACTTTTCGTATAAGATCTATATTTCACAATAAAAACATTGTGAATAACTCATAGAAATAGGGCCTATTATATATTCTGTTTTACCAAAAAAAAAATAATAAATAAAATAAAATAATAATAATAATTAAAAAAAAAAACGGCAGTTATAGCTATTATTCTGATATCTGAGCTTGTCCTTAGACTATGTGACATCCATTGATGACTATACTCTGTTAAAATCTCTTAAGAGATTTCAACAAAAAAACAAACTTTTTAGAAAAAACCAGGTACTAACTTTGAATGTAAAAATGGGTTCATTAAGCATTGGTAAGTATGGGATAATTGCTGTTTACTCCAGGAAAATTCATTTTTTGGCCGAAACGAAGAGTTATAATCCCTTTAATTGAAACTTAAAATGCTGTTCTCCCCTTCTTTAAGAGTAGCCTAGGTCTCTTTCAATTAGAGGGAGTTTTTATCTTTTTTATTTATTTATTTATTTATTTATTTATTTATTATTATTTATTTATTTATTTATTTATTCATTTATTTATTTATTTATTTATTTATTTTTTATTTATTTATTTTTTGCAAGTTAACTTCGCTTTGTTGATGCTGTCTTTGCCAACATCAATGCTTTTACTGATATTGAATCAGTATCGGGGAGCGTGTGCGTCAGTTCTTCAAACTCAGGGTGGGCTGAGCGTACGTTAAGAGAGTACTGGCCAGTGTCACAGATGTGGAAACCAACATAACAGTTGGTGCCCCAAACCGAGGGTGAAAACGAAGGGGGGGGGGGGGGGAGGGGGGACATAATTAAAGATTTGTTGAGTTAATTGGTAACATTTAATATATGTATTTTGATATAAAAGATGTTTTATACTCGTGGTGTTTTATTCCAAACTAGAGGTTGTTGATCAATTTGAACACTCAATTGAAACGGGACATTGATCGGCGTAATTTTGGCGACAGTGCTAGGTTTTCCTTATCTATTTACTCAAGTTACCGTCGCAGCCACAACTATGTCACGACCTATGGAAATGACCTCACAAGATTCAATTACGTGCGCACCTGTAGAGGAAGCCAAGATGGCAGACGGTGACTCTATTCCGGTTTGCCTGGACGACGTAGAGGCAATTGCATTGAAAAAGATGTCTAAAAATGCATACGATCACTATAGAAGTGGTGCCGATGACCAACAGACTCTCGGGGACAACAGGGCCGCTTTCAAGAGGTAGAAGTATCAGAATTGCTATGTGGTAAACCATGCCCGTAGCCAGGGGGTTCGGGCGGGGTGGGGGTTGTCGAACGAACAGCCCATTTTGTCGGGAAGAGGTCCCCTTTGGGTAAAATGATTTCTAGGTACACGAAATTTTCATGGTAAAAGGTCCATTTTTTCAGAAAAAGAATAACCCTTTTGAAATTGCTGGCTATTCGGGCTTGTTAGTGAATGGTGCAGTATTACTGACAGCCACGTACAGTTAATAGTGGTGGTATGACACAGTGCAGTGATGCGTATTGAACCGTTTAAAATCACGTGGCTCTGTGAACGCATAATGGTGTGATGATGTTTTTTTTCCCTTCGATAATGGCTATTAACTCACTGTTCACCTTTTTAGAAAAGGTATCTCACAAGTGGCTGAACCCATTTTTGCTGTGGCATTATTTTTATAAATTTCTGGTCTACAACGTGTACCAAGTGCGAGTTTTCCCGAAGGAGTAACATCTCTTTAAAAAGCACAATTTCACGAATTGGGTTATTAACATTATAAATGAAAGAAGAAAGGAATTTATTAAAAGAAAATGAAATTTTTTTATGGTCGCTAGATAAGATTATAAAATAAAATTATTCTTAACTTAGAGACAAAATAACATCATTCAAACCCAATATTAAGAACTTTTTTGCAAATGATGTTTTTATCTGTTGATTACTACATATCTAGATATCGACTGAGGCCAATGTTTCTGCGTCAAGACGTCTCCACGCGAGATCTCGCCACCACCATACAGGGCGTGCCAGTAGATTTCCCAGTCGGCATCGCGCCAACTGCCGTACAGCGCATGGCGCACCCGGACGGAGAAGTGGCAACAGCCAGAGGTAAAAAAAAAAAAAAAAAAAAAAAAACGTGACCCGTTTATTATACAGGCTTTATAAACGATGTAGATTTTTGTGGTTTGCTGCCGCTGATTTATATAAATTGAAGTGCGATTTCATTGTCCGACCACATGCTAAGATTCTTTTTTTTTACCGCGAATGTTTAGAATTTAAACTTAGAATTCAAAAAGCTAAAATTGTATCATTTGTTTGATATCTCCAAAGGAAAGCGATTACCATTACGCATATGATAAATGCATATATTTATTTATTTGTTTACATGTACCAAAATATATTTTAGCTGCAGCGTCAGTGCGTTCTTGTATGATCTTCAGCACGTATGCTACCTCCAGAATGGAAGCGGTTGCCGCCGACACACCAGATGGCCTGCGCTGGTTTCAGCTCTACGTTTTTAAAAACCAAAAACAGACGGAGGATCTTATACGTAGAGCTGAGCAGAGCGGCTACAGGGCTTTGGTGCTGACCATTGACTGCTACCATTCAGGAACAAAACGAGCTGATATCAGAAACAAGTTTACTTTGCCAAAGCACCTAAGGTACAGTGATGATTCTACCACCGCTTTCTTAGAGCAATATATTTATTTAGTTAGTTAGTTGGTTAGTTAGTTAGTTAGTTAGTTAGTTAGTTATTGAAGAAGAAAAAGTCTGTTACTAATGGTAAGTGTTATTAAATATTATATATCAATGCATAAAAATAAATAGCAGCAAGGGTAAATGTATATTTATCCCTTTACAGAACTGAGAATTTATCCGACGACGGAAAGCCATATGACGGAGTGTGTGGACTTGGATTTGCACCGTTGTTATGGAGTGATGTGAAGAAGTTGAAAAGTTTCACAAAACTCCCTGTGGTTGTTAAAGGTGTTCTCACAGGTAGAGATCGATCTGTCCACACTGTAATAATAATCCAAATGTTCTCAGTTGTTTAGAGTCTTACAAGGTACGTAAGTCATTCAAGTGAGATAATAATAATAATCATCATGGAAACTGGGTAACTTAGAAACTTGTGAGAGGTATCATTTCTATAATGTTCAAAGGCATGGCCAATTATTTGAAAAAAGTTAAGAAGTTAACATTTTTTCCAACTTCAAAGGGGAACTTTCGTTCGTTTACCTCCAAGAACTTAACACTTATACTTATTGCGGTAGTTGGGAGCACATCCATTGCACAACAAGGCATGAAATTGGCTCTGTCTTGCAGTGAGGAAACCACCAAACAATGCCCCCATTGACCACCATACTAGCATATGCCTGCACAATGGCACGAGCAGAATAATTTGGAGAAACATTGCCTTTCCTCCTAAACAGCAGACACATTGAAATAAAATATATCATGACCAAACAAATATCTTACAGATTGCACTCCAACATGTACACCCCTCTTTGTTTGTTTTATTGTGCATATTATATCGTTCATAAAAGATTCATTCATTGATACATCCATTCGCTTATATATTCATTTATTAAATCATTTTGTCTTAATGCTTGTGCACTCCGGTTTTTTTTTTCTGCATATTATATTGTTCTTAATATATTCATCCATTGATACATCCATTGGCTTATATATTCATTTATTAAATCATATTGTCTGAATGCTAGGTGAAGACGCCGTCAGGGCGGTAGAGAGTGGTGTAGACGGGATCATGGTATCAAACCATGGAGGGCGTCAGCTCGACGGTGTGCCTGCCTCGGTAAAAATTGGAAGAAAGTCCTCTTTGACACACACATACACACACACACACACACACACACACACACACGAAGAAAGAGAGATAGATAGATAGATAGATAGATAGATAGATAGAAAAAGAAAGAAACAAAGAACATTTTGGTGGAATTTGGTACTGCCATAGTCAACATAATATTCACCACTGACATGTTCTGCATAGTTGTCTTTCTTTCTAATTCATGTCTTGTAAATGTCTCGGTGTCGTTTCTGTACTCTTATGGCCCTAATATCCACTCTACTTATTAAATAACTGTATTTTAGAGATATTTCCGATACGCATTGGCGCCTCTAAACCTCTAAACCTAGGCGTAACATATTTGGCTCACATCCACACGTTATATATGTTCTAATTTTTTCTTTCTGTATTTGGTTTTGTCTGCATAGATAGACGTGTTGTCCGAGGTTGTCCAAGCTGTCCAGGGGCGGTGTGAGGTCTACCTAGACGGTGGGGTTAGGTCAGGGACCGATGTTCTTAAAGCTTTGGCGCTTGGCGCACGCGCAGTCTTTATCGGCCGACCGGCGCTGTACGGATTGGCTTACAATGTAAGGATGTAACAGTCACATATGTAATTACACCTCGATTGTTTTATTTAAGTGTTTTAATTCATTCATATGTGACTTGTATGTTACATGAGCAAATTTAGACAGCATTAGGTTGGAAATACAGTTGACTTCTCTGTCTCTCTCGTGAATTTACCTTTTTATACAATATTTATGTATTATCAACTTGTGCACCCTCCAAGTAAAACTATAATTCCATCAGTATTTGCCAGTGAAGTCTCCTTTACGGTTAAGCATTCTCGAGACCGTCCTGCCCCATCCCTGCGTCCCCTTCCGACCCCTCCTATTGTGATGGCCAATGGAGTATCTACTGGGGAACAGATACGCTGTTATAATGCCCACCGGAATCACACAACTTGTTTTGACACTTCTTTGAGGATGCCCCGCTACAAGTCCAAGAAAACCCTCTCAGTGGCGCCCTACTCTTCTAGTGGCTCCACCTGCCGTACCCTACACACACCACAGGTCATTTAATACATGTATGATGGGTTATTTTAGGGGGAAGCAGGCGTGAAATTGGTTCTGCAGATGTTGAGAGATGAACTCAGCTTGGCAATGGCTCTAGCAGGTATAATCCAGATAAAGTACCGTCAACTCCTATGTGTTTGTTTAAATAACACTTATTCACACAGATATGTATTGAGATAAAGAGGTTTTCTTTTTAAATTACAAGCTTGTTCACAGTCATCATCTTAGATTTTTTTTCTTCCCTGCCTTTAATGGGTGAGGTAGCTGTTGATAACCCCGTATTTTTCGCTGACCTTTAATTATATATATTATACACAGTAGTTTGGTTTATTGTTTGATTTGGCCACATGTTGTGGATTTAAGATTATCTACAGTTCTTAGCAGATTATTTTTCTACAATTGTGCTAATATTTTCAGCATCTGTTTGTTCTCTTTTATAGGCTGTGCCAACATCGGGGATATCCAGCGTTCTTTAGTTGTCCACGAGAGTCGTTATCTGCAACCAAAGCTGTAATTTCCATTATACCCATACTTATTTATTTATTTATTTATTTATTTATTTATTTATTATACACATGGTGTTATATGTTCCTAATTAAAAAGTATTATTGTTACAAGAGGCCCTCAGCTTGGGAGCATAATATAAATCTAATTTGTTCAGAATTACCCATGTGCCATAGCTTGGAGTTCTCCGTAAGGTGATGTAAAGCCTCGGTCACAACCGGCCGTACGGGCTCTTACGGGCTGTTTGCGTCCAAATTTTGCTCAGAATCTCACGTCCCACGCAAGGCCTTCTTACGCAATTTCGATTTCGCAGACAGCCCGTAAGCACGTACGGAGGATGTTGGACATGTCCAAAAGATTCTACGAATAGCCTGCGAACAGCGAGGCCGCAAGCGTAACTTTCTCCCCTCTCACGGAGTTAGCTGCCCCCCCCCCCCCTGGAAATTGGGGTGCAAAAAAAAATTAATCGCAAAGGTAAAAAAAAAATAATTGCAAAGTTGGTATCAATTCTGTGAGAAAAGGCACTAATGGTCACTAGACAATCATTCAACAATCTGTTTACAAAGGTGTACTGTTTTTAGCCAACTCAGTTCATGCCAAAAAGCTCACCCTCCCTGAGGGAGCTATCCCCCAGGCCAATTGGCGTGTTGTGTTGAAAAAATGACTGTACTTTTGGCAAAATGAACCCACAATTTCTGACTTCTGATTGACCAATAAATAACAGTTAAAATGCATCAGAATGCAGTATTATACATACAGTTTTTAAAAATTTTCCACACCGTGGGAGGGGGAAACCCCCTCACACACCCTCCCCCCTCGGGGGCTTCGCCCCTCGTGTCCGCTTACTGCCCCCCTGGCATTTTGCTCAGGCTACGGCCCTGGAAGGCCACACATGATAGTGCTGCTGAATAACTTGAAGGCTTTATTTTAACTGTTAACTAACACATAACATTTTATAGCATAAGGTTTTTCTTCCTTTTACCCCTCATAGAGTACCATGTGGAAGATAAGTGTACACCAAATGTGTTTTACCCTCCTCAAATAAAGTTTATTATATATTGTTCTATCGTTCAAGTATTTGTTTGTATTTCTAAATGTAGGTGATCTTTACAATCATGATTAACCATTTGAAGTTCATTATTCATCATACTTAGAACAGGAGAGTTTTTTTACTTACTAAGTTTATTACTGTATTCAAAATTATGAAAGTTTACACAGGAATTGGTCAACAAAGAAATTTATTTATCCATATCATTGAAACACTATGCCCAAAACCACTGATGAAGTACCACATCTCTGTAGAACTAACAGAAAGATTAAAAGAAATACAGTTTGGTAAGACAACACAACTACTAAAATCTAACAAACAATGATACTATTTTTAAAGAGTGAAGTATGTGCAGTAACAGAGAGTGATAAACAAAAGAAGAAAGAAGGGAAAAAGAAGAAAACGAAAAAAAAAAAAAAGAGGAAAGAAGGAGGAAACGTCCAGTATCAAAACTATGGACATATCCAGTGAAATAATCCAAATTTTCAGTACGTACCAAATCAGCTACTGCGCTACCAACGCATTCAATTGCAATATGCTCAACAACATGCTCGGGCAATTCCAATATCTGAACAACAATTCCCGATGGTAAAGGCAGTTACGGAAACACCGACGGAAAGAGTGTCTTATAAATATTTTGAGCGAGGTACGTCAGGCGGTCTCCGGCGTTCGGGTCTGGTACCACATTGGAGTACGTGCGGAAGAAGGTTGGAAGCAAATCACGGACGAGGCCTTGGTAGAACAAAGTACTCCCGTTCACGAGTGGCGTGTTCACAGGTGGACCTGCAAAAGACAAGTGACATTAACATGTGACGTATATTACAGAGTATCGACAGCTGAGGCGTAGAAGTTGCAGCTAGAGATTCTGTTACACCATTATACAAATTTATTATTTCTCTAATGATTCTGATGATATTATTAAAAATAAAAATAATATTGATACATCCCCAAGCAGTGCATCTTTGAATTATGTTATATATATATCCATACCACTTTTTTTTTTAAATTTCGTCAATCGTGCTTGATCTCTTAAACCAAGTGAGTGTGTGAACGTAGCTGACTTTATTTTTTGGATCTGGGTCTTTTACCAGTATCCCGTACAAAAAAATAATAATAATAATAATAATAATAAAATAATAATAATAATAATAATAATAATAATAATAATAATAATAATAAAAAACGACCAAATGCACTATGCTAACTCCTTAAAACTCACTTGTGTTAAGAATGTCACACTGGTTGACGTTGCAGAAGTAGATGGGCGTAATGTCCACGGTGAACCGGTCGTTAAAGCTGCATATAAGACTTGTTATTGGCTAAAGTAAAAATACCTACGATTGTTATTATTAACATAGACACCTCTGCTTTAGCAGTTATAGTCTGCAGTTACTTAAAAGATGGTAGCAAGATACAACATATGGGAACAACATATCAGATGGATAAACGTTTTCAGGAAAAAAAGTGAAAGAAGACAAAAAGATAAATGGTAATAAATAAATAATGTTTTTACCGTGATCAAATTAGCGATGTCCGAGGTTATCCTCAAATTGCCCAGACTTGCAAAGCCAAGGCAGTCCGTCGCTTTTATGTTGCAATCTGCGTCCGTTGTGCATGAGGAACCTTCAACTAGATTTTTTTACGAAAATCAGAACATTATGAATGAACAAAAACTATTGACCATATTAATTTAGAACAAACGATCAAAATAATCCTGATAACTGAACTAAAACAGCACCAACTATAACAATACAGTTATAATAATAACAATTACACGAAAGTCGGGTATGTGCTTTGCAATGTTTTCCTTTATAGTAAGATATAACAAAATGAAGCAATAACAATTACTTCTCGAGCAGACGAAAGGAACCGCCACTCCTAATTGAGGAGAAAAGGGAATGGGAGACGATCCCGCTGGGCACAGGCAGCGGAATCCAGAGACGGTGAAGGCAAGGAAGAGCGGGTTAAAGGTACAGACGGGACTCGTGAAGCTGCCAATACTCAGCGTTGTGCATTCCGTCGTCGTGTTTGTATTCTGATACGCGTTTGGTAGACTGCACTCGGCGAATAGAGTGTTGCCTGGAAAGTGCAGAAGTTTAATCATTATTTAATGGTACCCTCTCCCAGGGCGAGTGATAGATTTTTTACAGATATTCACAGATATCTCTAGCTAGATAGATGGTCATTTAAGGCTCAACTCACCCTGTTGAGGAATCCCATGTGGAAAAAATTATCCCTGCGCGCGCGCCAAAGGCTTTGTACTTGCTCTGCATGAGCTGAGCTTCACAACGATGTGATAACTGCTCATTACGCAACCAGTCTAAGGCTCTTTTATCTGTCACAGTAGAGTAAGTGATTGAAGTCAGAGTAATTAACCGTCTTGATTGCTGTCACGCAGACTTAGACTGGACCTGCTAAGTGGCAGTGTCTGAGCAGTTATGCAAACAATTATCAGCCATGTAATCGGCCTTGAGATTCCTCAACAGGGTGAGTTGAGCCTTAAATGACCATCTATCTAGCTAGAGACATATCTGTGAATATCTGTAAAAAATCTATCACTCGCCCTGGTAGAGGGTAATTTAATGGTGAGAGTTTACAATATTTCCCATAACAAATTTAATGTAATCGAAAACTGTTGACAAAGACTAAGTCATATGAGCATATATATACATATATCAAACGCAATCATTCTAGATATCTAAAATCATTTTTGTTCAGCTTATTCTCTGTGATGACTCACCCATGTTGACTTTAAATTTCACAACGTTTTGAAACTAAAGACAGTAATAATAGTAAGTGTACAACTTGGAAAACTTGCTGGAATCCTTAATTTCTCCAGGCGTCACCTAGATATCCCAGCAGTACAAATGACGGTATTGAGGGGAGATATCAGTCTTTATATCAATGTATTTTTACATTCTTCATTTTTTAAATCTTGATCGTTAATTTTAAGTCCAGCCAGACATCTTCCTGGTCGTAGCCTGCGTTTAATAGATATTATCAAAATATTCAAAGATAGGAAATAAGTACCCTTACTTCAGAGATAAGAAAATATATGTTATTATCACTAGTAGGAGTCTTTACCGTTGTGATAACTGTGTATCAACTACAATTTACACGTGTTGCCCCCCAGCGTCGTGCATTAGTATCCTGTAACACCTGATGTATTTCGGTAAAATGATCCAAAATAACTGAGTCTACACGACGTGTGCCTGGGAAACCCTATACTTTGCATAGTGAAATTACAGGTTTCAATATCCATGATGTTTTATAGTGGTTTCATTGTTAAACGTTCTTGTAGGTTGTGTCGTATTACTGCAATATGACAAGAACACAAATAGTAGATCAAGGGCAAGAAAAAGATGTTTGCTTTATTGTTTTCTTATTCATTTTTACTCATTCCTTAATAATTTAGTTAGATGGGGTTTGTAATTCCATATTTTTTTTTACATTACGTAAGGCGTCTGAGAGATGAATAAGAGGACACTCAGTCAAGAAGAGACGAAATTATATTAAATATCACAAAACGTAAATCAAGATGTGTATATCTATTCCGTACATGGAGTTGTTATTTTGCTAAATGTTTGGGCCGTACACATTCACTTTTAACATAAAGGGCAGAGTTGAAATACGCATGCACAGGTATAATGCTAAAAAAACTGTTTCAGGTTCATAGGGTCCACATTAAATAATGGAATGATGATGAAGACGGTCGGTTCAACTAAATTGTAATGATTATGATTTACAATTGTATGAAAATGCACATATAACGATGAAACGCATCATATCGAGTAAGATGTATTTCTTTTTTTTCCAGGTCTACCCAACTACCAGACTCGGTACCGAATGGTCCCGAATTCAACGGTAGATCAGACCACACTACCCGTTTTCAAGGTGTGAGTCAGTACGCACTACACAGTATCATACCCTGAACAAATTTTGAGTGGTGATGCAATGCTGTTCAACCCCGCTGAGAATCGTCACTATCACATCGCGTACTAGGCAAGAGTGGTGTCGAGTCTGATACTGTAAAATGCGTACTGATACACACCTTGAAAACGGGTAGTGTGGTCTGATCATTTTACAGTATCAGACTCGACACCAAAGAAATACATCTTACTCGATATGATGCGTTTCATCGCTATATGTGCATTTTCATACAATTGTAAATCATAATCATTACAATTTAGTTCAAGCAACCGTCTTCATCATCATTCCATTATTT